TTCACCCCACGTTCCTACTTAGACCTTCATACAATTAAAAGTCAAAGTGCAGTTAAGACAGAAAGAGTACCACCCTGTCACAGCCCTGTCTATTACAGATGTGCATAACCCTTAGCATATTAGATAACTTCTCAGGGTCTTAGTTTTTCCATTTGTTAAATGAGGGGATTGTACTAGATGATTTCCTAGGGCCTGACTCAGACCCTCGAACAGAACATCTTTTACCCACAGAACACCTTCACCATCTCTCTGATTTCTGATGAGAAGTCAGTCACACTGCCTGGTTTCAAATTTCAACTCTGGTTCTTGAGAGGATTATATGAGTTCATATGTTTAAAGCACTCAGAACAGGGCTGGCACAGAGTAACGACTTGATAAATATTAGTGTGTATTACTGTTTATTTTTAAATTTTAATTACTGTTAATATTATTACTACAGTCTTAAAGTATCAAACCCACAGCACAAGGAAGAGCAGAAATTCTAGTAGAAATGATATGCTACTTGTCGTCATCCATGAATCATATGGCCCTGCTCAAAAAAATGGGAAGGGAACATCTTTCTAAATGTTGGGTAGGAATGGGAAGGCTACATCCAAGCCATACAGCTAAATAGGGTCAGAGTAACTGCTGTAACCAAAGACCAGTACTCTTTGTAAATATAGCGCTAAGCCAAATATTGCTGAACATTATTAGATTTGTACATAGTGGCACTACTTTAAAGAGATGTATCTGCTTTTGAAGCATCATTCTAAAACATTACACAAAAATATGAACTTTATATATAATAATGTTCCTTTAAAATGAAAAGAAAAAATCAAAATATATTGTCTTTATTCTTACCTTAAATTCTTTAATTCCAGTAAAAATACTGATAGATGAAATGTCAGTCTCTCCATTCAATTTACAGTCAGTCACAATTTCAATAACCTTATCTAATGCTACTTTCATGCGGTCAAATACTCCTTCTTTGTTTTTATGGGCTGACTCGCAGCTGGGATGCCTGAGACATGTCTTCAAAACAATTGAAAATTTTTATTTTAATATTTGATCCATATCATAACACACAAAATCTTACAGAGAACATGTCATGCTAATAAAAATGGTTCTTTACCAAAATCTCCTGGGTCCCTGGCTCACTCAGCTGCTTCTCCTCACTAAAGTGGAAGCAGGATGAGTAAAAAGCGATAGCAAGGTTAAGTGAAAAACGCAGAGTGCAAAACTATACCTTTATACTTCAATAATAAGGTTACTTAAAATTTTTGTGGGAAAAAAACCCTATCTCTTCATCACGAATAAAACTATTTTAACATATTGCCTTACATATTCGAGAACTAAAAAAGGAGGAGGAAAAATGAACAGAGATAAAATATGACTGCGGATGCATCTTTGACTTTTAAAAAATGATGTAAATGAAAAACTACCCAAGGGCCTAGATAGAACAAGGCCTTCCAAGTGGGCTCCATGAAGTCTTTGATTTTGTGGCTTCACTAATCCTAGCATAGAGTAAATACTCTCAAAAGAAAAGGCAATTTTAAACAAACTGCTAATGACACATTTACTATTATAGTTCATTCTTGAATTACACCAATTTGCTGGCCAATTGCTGTTTGGAAATACAAACTCTTGATCGACAATTTTGTTGAGAGTAAAAGGAATTAGAGAAATGAATTTACAGAATAAACGAAGGGCTGACTTCATACTCCACTGTTACTTAACAGATCCTAACTTGCTTAGCTTTTTCTAGAGCATGCATACTGGCTCCTCAATGAAACTACCAAAACCCTGCAGGTAGTGACTGTGTCTGAAAGGCTTTGATTCACAGTCCCAATATATTATCTTCTGCTTAGCTGTTTAATCCAAGCTGACTTGTAGATTAATTACCATTTGGAACTGGGGAAGAAAGTTTAGCATCCTTGTAAACAATAACTGAGATTTGACTATTTGGGCCTATGTTCTTATCACTTTGATCTTTTTTAAAATGTAAACTATGTAAATTAAATGCATTTAACCAGGTTTTCTATTTATTACTGTATAACACAGTAAAAACAAAAATCTTCTTACCTTTGAAGCTGTGAGAAGCATCATTGTACACTTTTCAAGAACTGCCCTAGCTGCTGCCATTTTTGCCTTTTTCTTTTCATCTTTTAAATCCTAAATATGAAATAAAATCACTGAGCAGTCTAAAATCACATAAACAATCCCACTTCTTGAAAAATCATTTATTCAATAATAATAATACTCAAAAACTTAGTAACATTGGTAAGCAAAAAAAGAACAAACCAGGATAAAGTTTTATAAATTGTCACTGCTTTGATCTAAATACATCAACACAATATGAGTGGAAAGAAAGAGCTGCCCTTAGTAGGGGCAATAGAGCCAGGAACTGAGACAGAGGAGGAGGCGGCACACGGCTTGCATTCTGGTGGTCTCCCACACCTGACATCCTCGTGCCCAAGTGCACACACCTCACTCCTAACCAGAAACAGCCAGCCCATGTCTTACTTAGTTAAAAGTGACTTATTTTTCAGCACCTATTGACTATTATTTCTTTCCAAACAGAGACTTAGAAGTCAATTCATTCAGGGACCATGTCTAATGAATCCTATCTAACTGCTGATACATCTCAATATGAGGTTTGTTTGTCCTAATCTTAACCAATATGCTGTTCTGAAATGTTCTAAAGATGTTTCTTGGGTATATAATTTTCCCCAACTATTAACAGATAGATTATGAATACTTAAGAAAGCACTATGTTTTGAGTTTTTGAAGGGGCTTTCTCTTCATAGAGCGCTCAATGGAATGTGTGCTATTACGTGGGGTACCCAAAAACTTGCCGATCAAATCTATAGCAAAACACTCTGATAAAGGTTTGGTTACTACATCTAAATCAGAGGTTGGCAAATGTTTTCACTGAAAGCCCAGATAAATATTTTAGGCTTTCTGAGCCATATGGTCTCCATTACAACTACTAGATTCTGCCATTGTAATGTGAAAGCAACCATAAATAATACATTAAACAAATGAGCATGGCTGTATTCCAATAAAACTTTATTTATGGACACTGAAGTCTGAACTATATAAAATTTTTGCCTGTCACAATTAGTCTTTTTTTTTCATTTGTGAGTTGGGTTGAAAGCCCTTTCTTACAAATAAGAAAAATCTAAAGTTTGAAAATGATTTGCCTTTGAAATTTGTTTTAATAAATTAGAATAGATTCAGAGTTATCCCTATTATAATATCACTCTCTTTCACTTGTATCCCAGTATAGCTTCCTTTAATAGGAGATAGAGATGGAATTACATCTAGTTCATGAGAAATTTCATGTAACTCAAAAGCTAATTCAGGTCACATCTCAGAGCAGTGTGTCCTACATGTGAATATCATCCATCATGAGTACCTATCAGAAATAAAGGTTGAGGTTGCTTCTAAAATTTCCACCCATTCCTTTTGCCTTTATCATTTTGGACAGGACTTCTTTCAAAACAACCCATGGGTCTAGTTGACAATGCATCAAGTGTATATGCCATATATAATACCTGTAAGCCACCTATGACACCACATACTGTATATGGTGATAGCAAATGACCGAAAAAGATGGCATCTCAACTCCAAAGGGCTGGTCCACAGGACAAAACAGAGGCCTCCATAAAACCCAGATGGTCCAAGAAGCACTAAGTGAAGTATCGCAGTACCTCCAAAAGTATTTGCCTTGGTCTGGGTAAGGTTCTCACCACTGCCACTTTCTACCACCTTTGTCCACGGCACCACCATCCCTCACTGAGTTACTATAGTAGCCTCTCAAGTGGTCTCCCTGACTCTGACTTTGTCTCCCTACAAACTATTCTCAACATGGCAGCTAGAGTGATACCATTAAAATATGTCAGGAAACGTCATTCACCTACTTGAACCTCCAATGGCTCCCCATTTTACTTGAAGCCAAAGTCCTTACCCAGTCTGGCCACCCCATTACCTCCTCCGTGTTCTTTGAAGACATCATACAATGTTTCTGTTTTATTGTCTATCTCCTCCCACTCCCACTAAAATGTAAGCTCCATGAGCACAGAAATGTTTGTCTTTTTATTTACTGTTGTACCCCCAACATCTAGAATAGTACCTGGTTCACAGCAAGCAGCTGATGAATATTTGCTGAGAAAACTGAATGAATAAATTTGCACTACAGCTATTTGCAGAATATTTTGACCATACTAAGAGAGAAAGCATCTGAACCCTGGATGCATATTCCATAAAAATGATCCAGGAGAAGCACTTATCAAACCAAAGATGCCAAAATGGCTGCTAGTAAGTTTCAAGGGTTCCACATTTAATGAGTTGAATTTTAAAAATAGGTAACTTCAGCCAAAGTGTACACAAGTTTTAAAGTGTTGGATCACAATTTTACAAGAATTTGAAAAAAATAAAGGCTCTCCAAACCAAATTTCTAAGTGCAAATCAAAATAATGGTTATGTCCAGAGGCTGAAGACGATCCTGCAGAAAATGTAACAAGGATGGTGGCTTTAGAACCTGTGAATCACATCATGCTTGCTCAAGTAATCAAGAAAATATTAGATGATAAGGTGTTGTTATTATGAAAACAGTCAAGCAAATAATTTTTATGGGGGGAGAGAGAGGAGGAGGAGGAAGTCGAAGAGAAAGAGAAGGAAAAGAAAAATTATTTTATAAAAAACAATGTTGGCAGAATGGAAAATGAAACAGTAAGGTGCCTATAAAAGCAGCTTAAGTATTACAGACCAATGCCATTATCCAGCCTGTCACTCTCCAGGCCAATACCCATCTCCCAACTCCAGCAGCAACTAGGAAAGTTCATGTCCAAAACTAAGGGAATAAATATGGGACTATACTCAGAAACATCTCAAGAAACTATCAATTACTATATATTTAACCTGCTGACAAGATGGACTCCTATACAAATACCCCAAAAGGAAAGTCAATCCTGGATACAATATGATCTTCTACCTGCCTAAATTTAGGAGCTCATAGTTTGAATTGGGTAACAGGCCCATAAAGAATTAATATCATGTTGTAATGTGAGAACTATAGGCTTTAGAATCAGACATAACTGAGTTTGATCTGCTGGCATAGTGACCTTGAGAAAGTTTTTTATCCACTCAGGTTCAGTCCCTCATAAGTAAATAAACACTAATAACAATACCTACCTCATAGAGAAGCTTTGAGAATTAAACGAGATCATGTAGATTAAGTATCTAACACACAGCCAGTGTAAATAATTAATGGCTTGAGTTATTACTATTAATCTAACATGGTAATAATAACAGAAACATAACAAGATACTATAAGAATACATATGATGACTCAATTTATTTGCCTGAGCCCTGGTAGGGGAGTTAAATGGAAAGCTTCACAAAAGAGGAAATACTTAAGTTGTGCCCTGAAGGCAAGTATGACCTTTCCTAGTGTTCGAGGTGGGAACATAATTAATTGTTACATTTGTGCAAAAAAAGGCATTCAGAGCTACTTACTTCATCCTGGCTTATTTATGAAAGGCTTCTGAGACCAAGATTATAGATTTTATAAGGAAAGAAACCAACCTAAATGGTCCCAAAGATCACACCTCTATCTAAACTAAAAAGTATTCATTTATCTGAAGATTTTAAAATGTGGCAAATACATACATTTTGTCTATCTCCAGTCAGATGTGCAAATTCCACCATTTCATTTCCAAATTGACTAAATATTTGGACAAACTCTTGAAAGCTATTCACTCTCTCTAGTCTTTCCATAGTTGCAAGAACCTGCAAAACAGAGAATATTTTATTATGGAGTGATAGATAGGAAAGAGATTGAGATTGTCAAAGCTGAGGAGAGAAGAAAAAAAAAGGAATTCTAAATTCTAGGGGAAAGCTGCGAAAGGAGGAGCCAGAAAAGAAGACAGAGAAGGAAAGGCTCAGAGAAGAAGAGGCAGATTGAAAAGTTAGAATCATTTAGGGAATGATTTGTTTTTAGGATGAGGAGAGGTGGACTTACTTGAAAAGGAAAAGGAAAAAGGATTAATGAAACAACTAAATATACAAATGAAGAGATCATTTATGCAGCCAAGTCTGGAGAAGGTGGGAATGGGCAGAACTGCAGTAATCAAATCCTCAGAGAATTAGGAAGGGGTAGGGATGAAAGACAACACACAGGAGGCTTAAGGCTCTGTGAACCGGGAGAGCAGGAATCCAGTCTTCCCAGGAAAGCAAAAGGAAGGTCATCTGCGAGTGAGGAGTGGAAAGGGAGGTTTGGGACTTTACAAGCAGGAAAACAGTTTGGACCAGTCAGGCATGGCCTGTGTTGAATAAATTACTTGCCAAGAAGCTCTGGGCAACTAGGGGTGAAGAGAGAATGTGAATCTGTAGCAGAGCCAATAGACAACGTATTGTGTTTTCTTGACACAAGAAATAAAGTAAATAGATGTGAAACATATTTTCAAATACTTTTCCTTAAAATAACAGTACTGGATTAGTTTTAGTCAGACTAAGATAGGTTAAAAAAACACAGATATCCTGTGTTTACTTATTTTTAATGAGGATATGATGAATATTTGTCATGTTAATCTGCCCTGGCAGCTCAGGAAGTCCAGGCAACTAACACAGATAAGGCACATTACCACCACTGAGCAGAACCTCTGTCTTTCAGAGAGGAAGGTTGTTTCTATTCCTCTGGCTCTGCCAGATTCACATCTCCAATTACTTTTTTTTTTTTGGAAACAGAGTCTTGTTCTGTTGCCCTGGGTAGAATGCAGTGCCATCAACCTAGCTCACAGCAACCTCAGACTCCTGAGCTCAAGTGATCCTCCTGCCTCAGCCCCCAGAGTAGCTAGGACTACAGGTGTGCACCACGATACCCAGTTAATTTTTCTATTTTTAGTAGAGATGGGTCTTGCTCTTGCTCAGACTGGTCTCCAACTCCTGAGCTCAAACAATCCTCCTACCTCAGCCTCCCAGAGTGCTAGGATTATAGGCAGGAGCCACCGCGCCTGGCCTCTAATTACTTTTTAACTTACTCTTTTTGATTCACTCAACACTTATCGGGTATTTCGTCCTCAAACTCTACTAGGACAACCCCTTCCCTGGCTGCCTGCCCTCCCCTTGCCTAAGGAATGATCCAGGGAAAGAAATGATCATGTATACCCTGGGTTTCTGGATGATCAAGAAGCACAACCATTACCTAAGAGACTAGTAGGAGTTCTGGACTGGAAGAGTATAAATCCATTCTCTAAGTTTTGTGATTAGTATAGTTAGGGACTCTGCATACAGAAATTTTGTAGCTGTGGATAATTATGGTTTCCACTGATTTAATTTAGTCTTAAATTTATAAATTGTTACTGATTTGGAAAAACAAAAAGACTGAAGAATTCAGCATTTTTTATCAACTAGGTTTCTACTACAGACATGACCATGGTGCTCAGCTTTTCTTTTTGAATGTTATACACATTTAAAGCTTTTACCAACAAGCCTCAACAAGTAGATAATGATTTTCTGAGAAGAAACAGTATTCGCATTCAAAAGTTTAGGCCCAGTACACATATCATTTAAGAATTACAGGTATAGAAGAAATACTACTTTTAAACTATAGATAATTAGAGTTATAAACAATTATAATAGACAAGCATTGCCAAATTACCTGCAATTAATCTAAAAAACTCTTTTGAAGAGAACACTGAAAGGCAAAAGTATAGCAACACCAGAAAGGCAAGTACCTTATTTCTTGATGTTATTATCTGTTTAATGACTACTCGGTCTGCCAACAACAACACTTTTGTCACTGAAGAAAGAAGTAATCTTGCAGCCTTTATAACTCCTGTTTTGTCTGTAAAAATTGTGATCTGGCCATCAGATTTGGGATGATTCAAGTTGGTTACGTCTGTAAGTGCTGCAATTGTTTCTCCTAATAAGAAAGGAGAGTAGGAAAAGTTAAATTCACAGTAAAACACATTTAAATTAAAATCTAGACTTTCCTCTAATCTTCAAGGTAATGAGTATGATGGGGAGAAACCTGGCTTTGGAGTCTTACTTCAGGAACAAGAAAACAATTTCACCTTGATGATCAAAGGGATTGTCCACATGAAGTTTTCTAATCAAAAGTAATAGCACACTCTTAAAGAACTGTGAAAAATTTTTACCTTCACCCAGTTTCAAAAATATCATTATTTTTGTGTCCAGTGGCACTGCAAACTATACAATCTAAAAGTCTCCTGCTCTACAAGACAGTAAGAGAAGTCCCAGAAATACAAAACGAAAGCAGCAGCTAAAACCAAAGCAGTAAGCAGGTGCCAAGGCTTGGGCCAGGGCCAGGGCCAGGCCAGAGGGAAGGTGGGAAAGGGGTTAGTGCTGATCTCCACAACTGGAAAGGGCTGGGATTTTTAGAGACACTCAGGGAAAGAAGAAAGATAAGGCTTTGGGCCCCAAGGGATGACATCCTCAACGAAAAGGGGGCCTGGAAAGAACTGCCAATAGGCGAAGGGAAACAATAAGCAAGTTTGTCTGTCAGTCAGCCTGGACTCTGAGTGGGGAAAGTAAACAAAACAGAAGCCTCCCTGCCAAGAATTCGAACCACAGGCTGACCCTCACTCAGGTTTGCTGTTTGAATTTTTACTTCTTATGATACCCAGTGGAAACCATTCTACCAAATGAACTCCCAACTACCTCTTGAAAAATTCTCTTCACTATTGCTATCAAACTTATTGGTTTCTATGATGGCAATTATATCCACCAATAAAACAATATAAATGTTTGCCTCCTCAAGACTATAATATTCTCCAAACCACCTTATTGTTAAAGTTAACAAGAATAAAATAAAAATAATAAACTTTTAAGTATCTTACAGTGTTCAAGATAATTTTTTAAGTGCTAAATAAACCTGTGTGCACAATGGATTGATTTTCTCACAAAAGCCCTCTTGTCAATTTTATTACATACCCACACTCATGTATCAGCCATAGGCTAAGGATTTTAAGTATTGGAATCTTAATGGACAGATCACAAGGTGCAACATGCTAAAAGTCAATATTTAGAAAGATCAGTCTGGTGGGAGCATATAACACAGAATGGAAAGAGGAGACTTAAAGCCAGGCTATCTTTCAATTGTGGGTGTGAGATTGGTGTGTGGGTGTGAGTAGGGACCTTTCTAGGATGGCAGGTAGCCATAGGAAAATAATGAAGATGACTGGGAGACACTGAGGAAAGAAAACATAAAATTAGTATCTGACCAGTGATAAGAAAGAAAGGAAGAATGACAAAATGGCTTCAAAGTTGTGAACCTAAGTCATTTAAAGAAAATTCCATAAGGGCATGGGAAGGGAGATAATAAATTTAGTTGCAGACAACAGAAGTTTGAAATGACACAGAATTCATAAAAGAGAAGCCACAAGATACAGATTGGTAATACAGATTCTGTGGTAGCCAGCCTCCAAGATGATCCCCATCTACTGGTACTCACAATCTTGCGTCATCCCCTCCCACATCGTACCAAGGTTGGCATGGCAGAAGGGATGGTATGTCACTTCAGAGATCGGGTTATAAAAGAACTAAGGCAGCCCCTTGGTTGCTGTCTCTGTCTCTCTCTCTCTGAAGGAAGCCAGCTGCCATGTCCTAAGCAGCCCATACTATTAATACAATGAGGCCTACATAAAGAGGAACCGAGGCCTCTGACCAACAGCCAGCAGGGAAGTGAAGCCTCCCAACCACCAGAGGGAGCCTGGACGCAGATCCTGCCTTCCAGCCACGCTTTCAGACAACTGAGGCAGGGTGGACACCTTGACTGCAATTTCATGACACACACTGACCCAAACCACCCAGTTAAGCCACTCCCCATTCTGACCCTAAAAACTGTGTGAGATAATAAATGTTTGTAGTTTTTTTGTTGTTTTTTTTTTATTTCAGCATATTTTGGGGGTACAGATGTTTAGGTTATGTATGTTGCCCTTGCCTCCCCATTCCCCCTGTAAGTCCGAGTTTCAAGTGTGCCCATCCCTTGGATGGTGCGCATTGCACTCTTTGTGTATG